AGTCTCTTTAAAGTCTCTTTAAAGTTTAGTTATCCTGTTTTTTTAGTAACTGTTCTTTTTAATGATTATTTCTGATTTAGCTCGCATTTAGCTAATCAATTAACTGACGGTTACATACATTCCAGACATAGGAATTTGTTGAGACTTACTTGCTGCACTCGATTTCTACGTTACGAATATTACATTGTGAACAATTATTACTATGATTATGGGGACTGCTGAAGATGGCTTGAATACAGTCGAAATGTTCAGTTTGGTATTTTTGAAGAACTGAAAGAAATGAAGACTTTCAATGGCGAATTGCCATTGAGAGCGATGTTCATTACGAAAAGAATAAATATCAATATAGACATCGATTATCCGAGACCATCGAAAAGAAAAAAAAATTGCAGTTGTGGATTAAACACGCTGGGAATTTAAAAAACATGCCGTAAGCTTTATTTCATAATATAATGATGTGGAAATATTATAAGTCCAAGCTCTGCATGAAGCTGAGGAACGTAGCAGGAATCGAATTTTTGACCGATTTTGTCGCGTCCAAGCTTTGAACGTAAGGGAGCTGTGGGGAAGAACCGACGCAAACGAGGAGGAACTTCGCTTCATTCTAAGACTCTCAAGAAGCCGAGAGTCGGCAGGACGAAGTCCTGGAAACTTCTCTCGCTATCAATGTTTCGCTGAGCCAACTCATGAATCGAATGTGACTCATGAATCGAATGAACTTATTTAAAGGATCCAAATTGGATCAATGTGACACGAGGGCGCATTTTAATACCCAGTGCCAGTATGTTTGTTTGTCCTGACTTTCAATCATGGAACTTAATTTAAGTGACCGGGAAGAGGAGCCAAGTGCAATCGCAAGAGAACTTAAAGTGAATACGAGCAGAAGGTATATGCAAAAATTAATTAATACATCCGGATTTTAGTTAAATAATATAATTAATAAAAAAAAACGAATGTTTATACATGTTTTTGTTTTTACAAAAATAATCGGCAACTTGTCACATTTGTAATTAATTTCAGCGTTTCTGATTGAATGCGGTGCGTGCGTGCATAAGTGCGCGAGTGTTACATCGAGTACGAACCTAAATACATAGAAAAATGTGCGTGTGGGTACATTAGAAAGAGACGGATTTTTGTGAATAAAGAGTATGGAGAGGTGAAATAGTTAAGAGAGTATTGCTAGAAACAAAGAGGACTAAAATATTATTTAATGATTAAAGAGGAGAGAGAGAGAGAGAGAGAGAG